AGTGGTCCATCTAGTCCAGGATCCTGTCTCACACAGTGGCCAACCAGTTCCTCTGGAGGGCCAATAACAGGGCATAGAGGCCAAGGCCTTCATAAGAATGTCAGAAGAGCCCAGCTGGATCAGACCAGTGGTCCATCTAGTCCAGCATCCTGTCTCACGCAGTGGCCAAACAGTTCCTCTGGCGGGCCAACAACAGGGCACAGAGGCCGAGGCCTTCATAAGAATGTCAGAAGAGCCCAGCTGGATCAGACCAGTGGTCCATCTAGTCCAGCATCCTGTCTCACGCAGTGGCCAAACAGTTCCTCTGGCGGGCCAACAACAGGGCACAGAGGCCGAGGCCTTCATAAGAATGTCAGAAGAGCCCAGCTGGATCAGACCAGTGGTCCATCTAGTCCAGCATCCTGTCTCACACAGCGGCCACCCAGTTCCTCTGGAGAGCCAACAACACGGCATAAAGGCCAAGGCCTTCATAAGAACATCAGAAGGGCCCTGCTGGATCAGACCAGTGGTCCATCTAGTCCAGCATCCTGTCTCACACAGTGGCCAACCAGTTCCTCTGGAGGGCCAACAACAGGGAAGAGAGGCCGAGGCCTTCCCCTTCTGTTGCCTCCTGGCACTGGGATTCAGAGGCTTCTGAATGTGGAGGTTCCCCTCAGCCATCATGGCTTGTAGCCATTGATAAACTTATCCTCCATGAACTTACCTAATCCCCTTTTAAAGTAGTTTATTCCTGTGGCCATCGCTACGTCATCTGGCAGCAAATTCCACATTTGAATCACTCTCTGTGCAAAGAAGTATTCCCTTTTGTCCGTCCTGAACCTACCGCCCGTCAGCTTCACTGGATGTCCTCAATTTCTAGTATTTTGGCAGAGTGGGGATTCGGACCTGGTTCTCCCAGATCCTAGTCTGACATCCTAACTGCCACCCCACGCTGGCTCCCCGATTGGTTGCTTCCTCTTCTCCCCCGTTCTCAGCAATGGTAGCTGGTAATTTTAATTGGGAGGATGTGGCTCAGAGGTAGACCCAAAGCAAGATAAAAGGACATCTGACTACTTCCTCCTTGCCCCAGCATCCAGGTTCCAGATACCACCACGGGCTCAAAAACACATCTGAAAACCCCTACCGTCTCTCTTTTCTTCTTTCATCCATCCTCTTATCCAGAGCAGCGTAAATTGCATCCGCCTCCTCGTCATCTTTTTCGTAAGGCCCACTGGAGAACAGGCTCCCGGCATAGCCGTTGAACTAAAAAAAGACAAAAGAGGTGTCAAGTTTCAACAACCCTTTTATCTGCTTATTATGTCCTTCGTTTACAGCCCATCTGTCTTACGGCGGCTCACGGCAAATTGTGGGTGTGTGTTAAATGCTGTCAAGCTCCTTTCTGAGTTATGGTGACTTGATGAATTAATGACTTCTGAGACGTCCCCTCGTTAACAGCCACACTCAGGCCTTGCAAACCAAGGGCCGCAGCTTCCTTGGTGGAGTCGATCCATCTCATCAAGGCAGATTACAGCATTTGAAAAGGTTTTTAAAAAGCTCAGAATGCAAGGATCTCCGGAAAAAAGCGCAGTAGGGATTGCAGAACTGGGGAAAAGGGCAAATGACAATGGAAAAGAAAGGGGGGGGGGATCTGCCTAGACATGACACGCCACAAGGCAGTAAGTAGGTTAGGTAAAGGTAAAGGTTCCCTTGCTCGAAAGCCAGTCGAGACCGACTCTAGGGTTGCGGTGCTCATCTCCGTTTCAAAGCCGAAGAGCCAGCGCTGTCCGAAGACGTTTCCGTGGTCATGTGGCCGGCATGACTAAACACCAAGGCGCATGGAACGCTGTTACCTTCCCACCGAAGTGGTACCTATTTATCTACTTGCAATTCCTTGCTTTCGAACTGCTAGGTTGGCAGGAGCTGGAACTAGAGACGGGAGCTCACTCCGTCATGCGGCAACCCGGGTCTTGAACTGCTGAACTACTGACCTTCCACAGCCTGCAGTTCAGCGTCTTAACCACTTGAGCCACCGCAGCTCCCAGTAAGTAGCTTACAAAGGTAGAATACAATGCAGTAAAAGGTACACCTGCTGCATCAATAGGGTTTCATCTCAATAAATCAAGATGGGTTAGTCTGTCTCTAGCAGTAGAAAGGAGCAAGAGTTCAGGAGCAACTCAAAGACTAACAAAATAAATTTTTTAAAGACTAACAAAATCTGTGGCAGGGGAGGAGCTTTCATGAGTCACTGCTCACTTCTTCAGATACAGCTAGAATGTGAGTCCATCTGTCCTTATATCTGGGAAAGTGGAGAGATTTCAGATGCTAAATGACAATAGCAGGCATGATTGGATTCGGTGTGATCTGCAGAGGAGAGCAGGTGTGGAGAAATCAGCATTGATGAGACAGGAAACCTACATCTCGATTCAGTCCAGAAGGATGCATTGTCTTGAGCTTCATTATCAGTTGCAATTCAGCAATCCCTTTGAAATTCCTTTGTAAGAGAACTGCTACTCTTAGGTCAGCAACTGAAGGTCCTGGAAGGTTAAAATGTCCTCACAATGGTTTTTGACTGTTGTGGTTTCTAATGCTTTATGTCCATTTGTTCTTTGTCGAAGAGACTGGCCTGTTTGTCCAGTGTAGAGGGCGGAAGGGTACTGCTGACACGTGATGGCATAAATCACATTAGAGGATGAGCAGGAGTATGAACCTGAGATGGTATGGCTGATGTTGCTAGGATATATATGAGAGCAAAGTTGGCATCTTGGTTTGTTGCAGGCCTTGGTACCAGAGTCCATTTTACTGTTAAGCAGTTTATCAATGTGGGTGAGGAGTTATTTTAAGTTGCCACAATTTTTGCCAGTCTTTCATGTGCTACTGGACTCTTGCTCTCATCCCAATAAGTCATTTAGCACTGCCTTTTATTATGGCAAGGGCCATCGCTCAGTAACACAACTCATGCCTTGTACATAGCTGGGCATGCGAACAGACCTCGAGAAAAATGTTCCGAACCTTTTATAGAGGCTTAACATGCGAAAAGGGGCAGTCAAAAGTTTTTCATAAGTTTAGAATCGACTAATAAATAACAGCCCACTACTTCTCTATTAAAGGGACAGGATATTTTTTTCCCTTGGCATCTGGCAACCTTATACACAGAAAAGGTCCAACGCCCGTCCCTCCAGCAGCAGGACTGAGCAGGGCCAAACTGGATGGACCAAAGGCCCATAGGGATAATGAAGAAGAAGAGATTGGATTTATACCCCTCCCTTCACTACCCAAAGGAGTCTCAGAGCGGCTTACAAACTCCTTTCCCTTCCCCTCCCCACAACAGACACCCTGTGAGGTAGGTGGGGCTGACAGAGCTCTTGACAGAAACGGCTCTTTTCCAAGAACAGCTCTTATCAGAACTACGGCTTGCCCGAGGTCATCCAGCCAGGTGCAAGTGGAGGAGCGGGGAATCAAACCCGGTTCTCCCAGATTAGAGTCCGCGCACTTAACCACTACACCAAACTGGCAAATGAGGCAGCTTCCTGGGTTCAGTTCTTAAAAGCCAGCAACCAGGCCAGAGGCATCACCTCATCATAATTGGTGTCGTTCAGATCCTCATCGTCATCGTCGGCTGCCTGGTTTTTCTTCATCTGATCCCCGACGGTTCTCTTCCCTGGTGGCGCATGGCGATCGTCCACGGGGTCATTTGCGTCTCGAGCGGGACCAATATCCGAGCGAGTGGTAAAACCCGTAGCACTAGAGAGACAGAAAAGCAACACATTCAATGCAGGACAACTGACAGGTGTTACTGGGGTCCTTCACCACTGGTTTCCCCCCCCCTTCCAAATCACTCCCTAATGCCTCATTCATGGCATTTAAGTCTCACAGAGCTGAACAGCTAATTTTGAGTATATCTGCTGATCTCTTTTTCTCCTCCAGTACGGCCCAAGTGGATTATACAGGTAGGTATGGGACAGGACAGCAGCCTGATAACCCAGCCTAGCATTGTCACATCAGAGCTTTGAAGCTAAGCAGGGTCAGCCTTGGTCAATACTTGGTTAGAGTGGTTAGAGTGCTTGGTTAGTACTTGGTTGGAGTGAGTATAAATGGGAAATTTTCTCAGTGGAGGGTGGTAAGCAGTGGGGTACCATAGGGATCAGTACTCGGTCTGATGCTTTTTAACTGATTTGGAGTAAGAACATAAGAACATCAGAGAAGCCAATGTTGGATCAGGCCAATGGCCCATCTAGTCCAACACTCTGTGTCACACAGTGGCCAAAAATCCCAGGGGCCATCAGGAGGCCCATCAGTGGGGCCAGGACACTAGAAGCCCTCCCACTATTGACCCCCCCCCCAAGCACCAAGAATACAGTGCATCACCTGCCCCAGACCGAGAGTTCCTATCTATACCTTGTGGCTAAGAGCCACTGATGGACCTCTGCTCCATATGTTTATCTAGTTCCCTCTTGAAGCTGTCCATGCTTGTAGCCACCGCCACCTCCTGTGGCAGTGAATTCCATGTGTTAATCACTCGTTGGGTGAAGAAGGACTTCCTTTTACTTTTGGCCACTGTATGACAAAGTGTTGGACTAGATGGGCCCTTGGCCTGATCCGACATTGGCTTCTCTTATGTTCTTAAGTTATAGCCAGCTGCACACCCTACATGATCAGTCTTGTGCCAAATGCCCCCGCAAAATGGCAGGCATGCAAAATACCAAGGAAGAGCCAGGACTGCCTCCAGGGATAGGCTTGGCTCATACAAAGCATCTCACATGATGAAGTTTTGCCTTATCAGACCCTGGGTCCATCAGGGTCTACTCAACCTGGCAGCAGCACCCCATAGTCTCAGGCAGAAGTCTTTCCCATCATCTGTCACCGGGTCCTTTTAACTGGAAATGCTGGGGATTGAATCTGGGGCTTTCTTTATGCCAGGCAGATGCTCTGAGCCATAGCGCCTCCCCTTCTGTCAGAGAACACCTTGAAAACAGCCCGACGGAACAGAGCTGTTTCATCCTTTCCCCTTAACTGCCAGTGCCGCCAAAACATTTGGGAACCAAAAATCGTCTGCTTTCTCCCCACAGAACCCTTGGAAATGCAATTAGCAACTGGTTCAACTGCAAAAAAATGAATTACAGATCTAGTGTGATCGAAGCTGTGGAGCGTTGCGCTTTATGTAACTTTCATGAAAACAGCAGATGCCAAGCATTATAGCAGTACTGTGTTATTTTTTTTAACTCTCAAAATTAAATATGCCTTAAAACCCATACAAATAATTCAGACTTCTCTTGCATCCTGCCCCCTTTCTTTCCAAGCCCACATCCGCAGTCTATAGACAAATGCATAATAATGTGTCACAGGATACCACCGCTGATTAAAAGAGCTAAAAGACTATTGATGCCAGCTAAATGTTCAACAGTAACAGCAGGCATAATGAACTTAAGAGGAGGAGATATTCAGGGGAAAGAAAATCGTTCTTCCCCACTTAGAAATCCTTACATGTGGTCTGGGTTCAGGTGCCCACACTGCAGAGATGTTGGGATGGTGGCATGAAGTACGTGCAGCTAGGCAACAGATGTGTGGGACAAAGTGTACATCGACTTCACACATCTCCCAATGCAAAAGCGTTTTCTGGGTAAAGTTAAAGAGGTGAGGGCCCTTTCGATTGGAGGGCCCTTTCGATTGCATCTCCCAATGCAAAAGCGTTTTCTGGGTAAAGTTAAAGAGGTGAGGGCCCTTTCGATTGTGGTATGACAAAAGTATGCACGGGACAGAGAAGTTAGAGGAAGAAGTACTTTTCTCCCAGTACAAGAACTCATGGGCCAAGGCCTTCAGTAAGAACATCAGAAGAGCCCTGCTGGCTCTGACCAGTGATCCACCTAGTCCAGCATCCTGCCTCACACAGCAGCCAACCAGTTCCTCTGGACGGCCAACAACAGGGCAGAGAGGCCAAGGCCTTCATGAGAACATCAGAAGTGCCCTGCTGAATCAGACCAGGGGTCCATCTAGTCCAGCATCCTGTCTCACACAGTGGCCAACCAGTTCCTCTGGACGGCCAACCACAGGGCAGAGAGGCCGAGGCCTTCGTAAGAAGATCAGAAGAGCCCTGCTGGATCAGACCAGTGGTCCATCTAGTCCAGCATCCCATCTCACACAGTGGCCAACCAGTTCCTCTGGACAGCCAACCACAGGGCAGAGAGGCTGAGGCCTTCCCCTGATGTTGCCTCCTGGCTCTGGGATTCAGAGGCTTAGTGCCTCTGAATGTAAAGGTTCCCCTCGTTCACCAGGGCTAAAAGCCATTGACAGACTTATCCGCCATGGATCTCTCTAATCCCCTTTTAAAGTTGTCTATGCCTGTCGCCATCACTCCATCCTCTGGCAGTGAATTCCACATTTTAATCACTCTTTGTATTAAGAGGTGTTTTCTTTTCTCCATCCTGAACCTACTGCTCATGAGTTTCATTCATTTTTTTATCAGGAAGGGGAAAAGAAGCATGGAGGTGTTTTTCAAATGGGTCTTTTTAATTATTATTAATTAATTATTACTATTAATTATTACATTTCTACCCCGCCCTCCCCGCGAACGGGCTCAGGGCGGCTTACAAAAAGGGCACCATGTGCCAATATGAAACAGTAAAACACATAAAACGACCATTATCAGAATAAAGTGCTCAGTGGTATTATTGAGCATTCAATCAGAGCAAGATGGTAGCCTGCAGATGAAGCTCCGAGCCCAATTCGGCGGGACGCTCAGTCGGAGCACTGAGGCTCGATCTTATAATGGGCCATCACAATAACCCATGTTCCCATACGGTAGTTGGTGGTGGCTCCTAAGTAAAAGCCTACACCCTTTGTTAGAAGTTAGAAGGCCTTTATTGTTTTACCTTAAGAGAACATTGGGTTTTCGCAAGGACAAAGCACTCTTTGTGTATTTTGCTGGCCCCAATAGGGGTAAAAAGACGAAGGAGGAGCCACAAGAAAAAACAGGAGCAACGAGCCAGAGGGGTGCCTGGTAGGCACTCACTTTCCCCATACATTGTATGGCCCTAGTTAGGAAGTCTATAAACCCCCATGTAAACCACTCAGAGCCTCTGGGATGGAGCGGTATAGAAATTGAATAAATAAATAAATAAAGAGTTTTACGGCAGACCTTGTCCCATTGGATTGTTTCCAAAATTAAGGGGTGCTATGCCCAGGCCAATGTCCCTTAGACATACAATCAGGGTGTCTTCTGTAGCATTCTTCAACGGAGTACCATTAGTTGAGATTTGTCGAGCCACAACATGGGCCAACATGTTGTGGACTCCTTTGTGTGCCATTATGTGTTGGATTGTGACCAGCTTGTTCTTTTCCCGGGTGTCTGCTGTGGCAGTGGTGATGGTGTTACTCTCTCTTCTCCGCAGCCTGCTTACTGTACTCCCAGTAGTCGCTTGGGTGTGAATGTTGCAAGCAAAGGATTTCATACCGGGCTAAACCTCATGTTGACAATGAGAGTAATCTTTGTTGTTCCAAAATTTGGTAACAGTCTTGCAAAATAGAGTATGTTTAGACATAGAGTCCTACTGGAAAAGAATCTGAAACTTGGGCCTCAAGGTTCAGGCTGCCAACTCCCACTTGGGAAACAACCTGGAGATAAGGGGGGAGGCCTAGGAAAAGTGGCGTTTGAGGCATAAAGCCACAGAGTCCACCTTCCAAAGCAGCCATTCTCTCCAGAGGAAGGGATCTCTGCCCTCTGGAGAGCAACTGTAATCCCGGGAGATCTCCAGCCCACTCTAGAGGTTGGCAACCTTACACAAGGTCCTCCCAAAGGCCAAATATAAAATTCTCCCAAAAACCATTGCAGGCAAACATAAGCTGATATTGCTGCAAAATATGGCATTAAAGGGGGAAAAATCCCCAAACTGGCACCAACAATCTGATACGGTTGAGGGGTGGAGATGAAACTGATTAGCTGAAGCAACAGGTATAAATGGTTTGGAGAAATGGAGTCACAGGGGAAGAAGACGAAGAAGACGACGACGACGAAGAAGAAGAAGAAGAGGAGGAGGAGGAGATTGAATTTATACCCTGCCCTTCACTACCCAAAGGAGTCTCAGAGCGGCTTACAAACTCCTTTCCCTTCCCCTCCCCACAACAGACACCCTGTGAGGTCGGTGGGGCTGAGAGAGTTCTGACAGAAACGGCTCTTTTTCAAGGACAGCTCTTGTCAGAACTAGGCTTGCCCAAGGTCATCCAGCAGGTGCAGGTGGAGGAGTGGGGAATCAAATCCGGTTCTCCCAGATTAGAGTTCGCGTACTTAACCACTACACCAAACTGGCTCTCAAGAACTGAAGGGATAACTGGGATTTGAGGGAAGTATTTCGTGCTCTGTCATATATTTTATAACTGGTGCCCATAGCCTTGTGAACTTCACGTGTGGTGTGGTATTTGGCGGATGAGACCTTCGGCTTAAATCTGCTATTTTAGCCATGACAAACTGTTCCCAGAGCTTGTCATGCCATACCCTGTTTTTCCTGGTTATGTTTATCGAGTTATGTGCATTGTAAAAAAGTATAAAAATAAAATATAAAAAAAAGTCTTAGAAGGCTGCTTAATACTGCTTAGGACGGCACTGTAAGTTTGCATTTATAAACTTTCTAAAAAAAGAAAAGACATATTTACTCAAGCGCCAGGCTGAGTTTTGTCACATGCATGCTGCCAAAAAAAGGGGGGCCATCTTCAATGCTCCCTCTAAGCTGCGGAGTCTTGTGAGCAAAAATTCTACATTGTGAGCTCCTGGCATTAATGTCGTGAGCGAGCGATTTGGCGACTGCATAAATTACTTTAGTTAGACCAGAAAGCACTACAGTTGGGGTCTCAAAACCGATTGACCCGCCCGGGCCCCAAGGATGCCAGGCTTGCTACCACCAGGGCCAGGGCCTTCTCAGTGGCAGCTCCATACTGGTGGAACGAGCTCCCGGAGGAGATCAGGGCCCTGGAGGACCTTTTACAATTCCACAAGGCCTGCAAGACGGAGCTCTTCCACCAGGCCTTCAACTAAGGAGCCGCCTCATTTACTACTAGCACCAACAATCGTAGTACCGACCCTGGCCCTTAATGTTAACATCTGACCTGTGCCGTCGCACGACTTAGGAAGATTACTGAGCTGAAAAACTGTGTGTTGTATGCATGCATGCACTTTAGTACGCCATCTTAAATAATTACTACCTTTGTCCAGCACTTTATAATTTTATGACTGTATGATTTTATCTGTAACTGAACTATTTAAATGATTTTATGTAGATTTTAATGGTCACTGCGGACCAACCAATGTAAGCCGTCCTGAGCCTGTTCGCGGGGAGGGTGGGGTATAAATTTAATTAAATAAATAAATAGTTTGCTCTGGAGCCATCCTTCCTGAGTTAAGACAAAAATGTGTGAGCTGGAGACTAAAAAACTGTGAGCTAGCTCACACTAACTCAGCTTAGAGGGAATGCTGGTCATCTTACATTCACATACAACCCACAGTTGTGTCCAATGACAATTGTGTGTACATGTATATAACATTTTAAAGAGTGTGGGGTCAGTGTTCCCTCTAAACTGAGTTAGTGCGAGCTAGTTCACAGGTTTTTAGCCTCCAAGGTCACATCAGCAGGTGCAAGTGGAGGAGTGGGGAATCAAACCCGGTTCTCCCAGATTAGAGTCTGCACACTTAACCACTACACCAAACTAGAGGGAGCATTGGTCAAGTCATGCTCTCTGGAGCCTAACCTACCTCACAGGAACAAATTTAGACTCCTGTGGCACCTTTAAGACCAGCAAAGTTTTATTCTGGGTATAAGCTTTGGTGTGCATTGCACACTTCTTCAGATCCCAAGCAAAAGTCCTGTCACACTTTAAAGATGTAAGACTGATTTTGGTATAAGCTTTTGGGCACTACCGGCCTCTTGATCAGAGGCACAAAGTGTTCTCTTCGACCTGTAGATTCAGGTGGGGAATAGTCTGAAGCATCAGAAAAAGTTAAGACTCCAGCGGCACCTTTAAGACCGACAAAGTTTAGTTCTGGGTATAAGCTTTCGTATGCACGCACACTTCTTCAGGTATCTGGAGAAGCGTGCATGCACTCACACGAAAGCCTATACCAGTGGTGTCGAACCTATGGCACGGGTGCCAGAGGTGGCACTCAGAGCCCTCTCTGTGGCCACGCGTGCCATCGCCCCAGCCAGGCCTAGACCATCATTAAAGTGTCGAATTCTCTGCCAAATAATTTTAAGTCAATGAAAGCATTTGGGATTGCTTTCCTTACTTTGTTCGGATCATCTTAAGTTAATGTATGAGTTGTTTTTTTTCTAAAGTAAAACCTCAGGATTCAAGTTAAATGGCCGTGTTGGCACTTTGCGATGAATAAGTGGGTTTTGGGTCGCAGTTTGGGCACTCGGTCTCTAAGAGGTTCGCCATCACTGGCCTATACCTTGATAAAAACTTTGTGCCACCAGACCCTGACGTGGTTCTGCTGCTTCGGGCCAACAGGGCTACCTATCTAAATCTACCTCACAGGGTTGTTGTGGGGATAAAGAAAGGGACAGAACAGCGTGAGCTGCTTGGGTCCCCATTGGGGGGGGGGGGTGGTAAGTCTTTGGAGCCATCCCTCCTGAGCTGAGACAAAAATCTGTGAGTCAGAGGCTAAAAAACTGTGAGCTAGCTCACATTAACTCAGCTTAGAGGGAACACTGGGTGGGACATAAATGAAGTAAGAGTAAAATTCTTCAGAGGGGGGCTCTGGTCACACTCTCAAAGGCACTTTTAGGGGCTAGGGTTTTTTTGTTGTTGCTTGTTTGTTTGTTATAACACGCTGTTCAGGGGCAGCCGGGAACTCTGCCCATGGTTAGAGGCATTTTTGCAAGCAACGAACTCTGCACACGACCAGGGGTGTTATAACACGCTGTTCAGGGGCAGCCGGGAACTCTGCACACGGCCAGGGGCATTTTTGAAAGCAACGAACTCTGCACACGACCAGGGGGCATTTTTTTTTATTTTTTTTTTGCACGCTGGCGCCCGTCCTTTTATGCCCTGCGAGACAGAAAAGCGACGTCTTGACGCCCAAAACCGTCGGGAGAAAGAGGCCTCGGCGGCGGCGGTGGGCCTCCTCCGCGACGCCCCCACCCGAGGCCTAGTCGCCGAGGGGAAGGAGCCGCGCCTCGCGCCCTCCCGCCCGGCCGCCCGCCCTACTCGAGCGCGCTGCTCACCCTCGGCCCAGGCCCGGCACGTAGCCCAGCGGGGCCGGCATGCCCAGGAAGGGCTTCTTCTTCCTGTTCATGGTGCCCGTCAGCGAGGCCGTCAGGCCCGACGCCCCGCCGGAACCTGCCGCGTTGGAGCCCCCCGCCGGGGCGGCCCCGCTGGCCGAGGCCGAGGAAGGAGCCGCGGTGGCGGCCATGATGGCGGCTGAGGAGGCGAAGAGTGAGGCGGGGGGGGGGGGGGGGGAGGAAGAGGGCGGGCCTTCAGGCCCGCCGCCCCGCCGGAACCTGCCGCGTTGGAGCCCCCCGCCGGGGCGGCCCCGCTGGCCGAGGCCGAGGAAGGAGCCGCGGTGGCGGCCATGATGGCGGCTGAGGAGGCGAAGAGTGAGGCGGGGCGGGGAGGGGGGAAGGAAGAGGCCGGGCCTGGGCCTGGCGGGCGAGGCCTACTCCGCCTGCTCCGCCTCCCGCGCTGGCTGAGGGGAAGGA